CCAATGAAGTTTATGTTGGAAAGAGTAGCTGCTCTCTGAAGACCAGTTTTTCTTTTGGGAAAGGCATCATGGGAAAGGAAATTATGGGAAGAATAATGTTGCAAGAAGGAAAATGCATGGAATTAGAAAATGCTGTATTTGTGCCTACCTTAAAGCATTTTTCTCAATTCATCAATGCATTGGTTGTCATGTAAACTGTCTGCTGCCAAGGTGGGCCTGGCTATAACACAAAATACAGCTATTGAATCCAGGAAACAAAGGATAATCAGTACAATGGTTTGCTTTTTCTTTTACTTCTTCAAAATGTTTCCCAACCCCCTAAATTCCTTTTCTATGACTGCTGTCATTAAGTAAGAAAAATGAGAAAGTCTTTGGAACCTCTCACATTCATAGGTAGGCAGAATTAATACTGTTAAAACGGCCATATTACCAAAAGCAAGCTATAATTCAATGTAATCCCCCTCAAAATTATATTCTTCACAGAACTAGAAAAAAAATCCTAAAATTTATATGGAAGAATAAAAGATCCAGAATTGCCAAAGCAACCCTGAGCTAAAAGAACAATGCTGGAGATATCATAGTACATGATTTTGAATTATCCTGCAAAGCCATAGTAACAAACAAACAAACAATAAAAGCAAGGTACAGCATAAAAAGAGTCACATGGACCAATGGGACAGAACAGAAGACACAGAAACAAATTCACACAGCTATAATCATCTGATTCTCAAAAGGTGTCAAAAACATACACTGCAGAAAAGACAGCCTCTCTAACAAATGGTGCTGGGAAAACAGAATATCCATATGTAAAAGAATGAAACTAGATCTTTATCTCTCACACTGTGTAAAAGTCAACTCAAAATGGATCCAAAACTTAGGAATTGGATGAAAAACCTTGCAATTGTTAGAAGGGAAAATATTTCAGCACAGAGGTGTAGGCAAAGATGTCCTGGTTAGTACTCCTATAGCTCAGGAAATCAGAGGAAGACTCAATAAATGGGATGTCATCAAATTAAATGACTTATGCACAGCAAAATAAACAATTAATAAAGAGATAACCAACAGAATGGGAAAGATCTTTGCCAGTTATTTTTCCAACAGAGGATTAATAGCCAGAATATATAAAGAATTAAAAATACTCAACAAATGCTTCCCTAACTAAATCGTTGTGTTCATTTGTTCATTAAGGGCCTTGACTTACCCATATGTTTGTCTAATTTGTATATTTGTACAATAATATAACACATATGAATTTTAATCTCAATTGTCATGATAGCATTTCTAATTTTGGGGGAGGTGGTACTGGAATTGAATCCAACGTTACTATTATTTTTTTTGGTAATGGATTGAATCCAGGGGCACTTTAACACTGAGCCACATCCCCAACCCTTCTTATTTCTAACTTTGAGGGTCTTGCTAAGTTGTTCAGGGTCTCATTAAGTTCCTGAGGCTGGCTTTTAACTTGCAATCCTCCCAAAGGCTGGGATTATAGGTGCAAGCCATCATGCCCAGCTTGTCACATCTCTTTAAATCCAACTTTCTGACTTTCTTTGTGGGTCCTTGTTCTGTACCATTCTTTATATACTGTCCATTGCAGTAATTCACCAATTTCACCTTTCCATGTGGGTTCCTTGTTATATCACTCAGTTTCCTCACGCTGTAGATTTTTACTTTTCTTTGCAACAGCAACTTCCAAGTTTGGGCATCCTTTTTCCTTAAAATGTAGTCTCGGGACAAGTAACTAAACATTCTTTGAAAACAAACAAAAAAAAGTACCTTCAGAATAAGATTTATAGATGATTTGCACAATGGTTGAGTGTACCTTGCATAATCTGTTCTCAGAACATCAGGGTGCCCAGAACACAAAATCACAAGTGCACTTTGATATCAATTTGTAAGAATACTGCTACATTCAAGAGTCATAAAGGAAAACTAGAACTTAAATAAAAGCCTACTAAGACTCACCTAATATGAAATAGATAATTTGAATAGCCCTATAACCATTAAAGAAATTGAATTCATAATTTAAAAAGCTTCTACAAAGGAAATCTCCAGGTCTAGGTAGTTTCAGCGGATATTTCTACCAAACATTTAAAGAATAATTAACATCAATTTTGATATATTCTCTTCTAAAAAAAAGAGGAGAGAACACTTCATCTCATTTTATGAGAACAGTATTACCCTAACACTAAAACCAGACAAAAACAGTACAAATAAAGAGAATTACAGACTAATATCTCTCATGAACTTAGAAGTAAAATATTCAATGAAACACTAGCAAGTTGAATCAAGCAGTGTCTAAAAAGAATTACACATCATGACCAAGGGAGATTTATTTCAAATATGAAAGGCTGGTTCAACATTCAAAAATTATTTCATGTATTTTCATGTAATAGTCTAAAGAAAAATTATGATCATATCAATTGGTGCAGAAAAAAAAATTTGGCAAAATCCAATACTCATTCATGAGGAAAAACTCTTAGAAAGTTAGGAATAGCAGGTATGTGAGCTTCACAGAGCTACTATAAAATGTTGCCACAATTGGGTACTTAAAACAAGAGAAATTTATTATCTCGCGTTTCTGGAGGCCAAAAGTCTTAAATCAAATTGTTGTTAGGCTTGATTACTTCGTGGCTGCTGAGAATTCTTGTCATTCCTTGATGTGTAAAACCATCATTCCAATCTCTGCTTTCATCTTTATATATCATTTACTTGTATGTGTGTATGTGTAAAATTTTCCTTTCCTTTTACTTATAAGGACAACAGTAATCGGGCCAACCCTGAATGCATGATAATCTCATATAAATATCTTTAACTTAATTTCATCTGCAAAGACTTTATTTTCCAATAAGGTTAAACTCCCGAAGATTGGGGGGTAGGACTTAGACTAAACTCTTTTGGGACACAATTCAACCCACTGAAGAGAATTGCTTCAGTTCAATAAAGAGCATCTACAAGTAACATATGTCTTTGTACTTAATGGTGAAATAACTGAATGTTTTTCTCCTAAGATTAGGAACAAGGCAAAGATGTCCACTCTCACTCTTATTATTCAACATGGTGCTTGATGATATAGCCATTGTAATTGGGCAGGAAAAAGAAACAACATATAGATTCAAAAGGAAGAAATAAAACTACGTGACAGAAGACTAACATCTAGATTGCATAGAGAACTCTCAAAACACAACCATAATGAATCCAATTAGCAAATGGGCAAAAAATATGAACAGACATTTCGTCAAAAAGTTATAGAAACAGTAAATAATCACATTGAAGGATGTTTGGCATAACTAGCCATTAGGGAAATGCAAATTATCAGAATGATTAAAATAGAAAATGGTGACAGCATCAAATGCTGGTGAAGATACAGAGAATCTGGATCACTCATGCCATATTGATAGAAAGGTATAATGTTGCAGTCACTCTGGAAAGCAGTGTGACTTTTCTTTTTACATAAAACTAAACATGCAACTACCATATGACCCAGCTATTGCACTCTTGGGAATTTTTCCCAGAGAAATGAAAATTTCTGTTCATGCAAATATCTGTACACAAATACTTGTTGTACTTTTATACTCTAGATAAAAACTGGAAATACTTCAGATGTCCTTAAATTAGTGAATAATAAAGCTCTGATGCATATATGCCATCAGATATTACCAAAACAGCCAACTACTAATATAACTTGAGTGGATTTTCCAGAAATTATGCCAAGTAAAAAGAACCAGTGCCAGAAGTTTACCATGATTCCATTTATGGCACATTTATGAGATGACAAAATTTTAGAAATAAAAGACATATTAGTGGTTGTCAATTGTTAGAAACAGGGATGGGGTACATGAGGGAAGTGTCAATGCTTTTAAAGGTCAACATGGGGCATATTTGTGGTGATGGAAGTGTTCAGTAACTTGACTGTAGTGGAGACACAATCCTACACATGTGATAAAATTGAATAGAACTAAAATACATGCTCACAGTTGCATGTGTACAAGTACAATTGGAGAACTATGAATAAAGTCAGTGTGTGTAGTATCAAAGTCAATATCCTGGTTGTGATACTATACTATAGTTTTTACAAAATATTACCATTGAGGGAAACTGAATAAAATGCATAAGGTATATCTTTCCTGTTCCTTAGAAATGCATGTGTATCTATAATTATCTATACTTATCTTAATAAAAGTTTCAATTAAAAATTATTGAGATGGAGGTAGGGTGCTTGCCTAGCATGTATGAGGTCCTGAATTCCAATCTCATCACCACAAAAAAATTGAGGACCCAAAATACTTTTTCTATGTAAATTATTTCTATTTATATGTGCTATGTTCAAAATTAAAACTGAGAAAATAATTTTAAAAAATTCACAAACACACATTTCATTAGCCACTAGAACAATGACATCATTACATGTCATGCAGATTTTGGGAAACTCCAATGTATACTCATGAGAGAATGAGAATGAAAAAGAAAATAGACAACATCTTAATATTGTTATGAATGTAATTTTGATCTTGCAAATTCCCCTCCAGTGGTCTTAGGGAAGGAGTAACCAATTCATCCCAGTTTGCCTGGGATTTTTCTGGCTTTAGTCCTGAACTCCTATAAAAACAAGTATTGTTTGCTTGAGACCTATCGAGTTTCAAAACTAAAAGTCCCACATTCAAAGGACTCTTGATGCTTACAAAACTGGGTTAGTTGTTATCTATATTTATGGACCTTTTGGAGGCTCTTGGACAAGAATGTGTGCAATCCTTAAATAGGAGGAATTCCCAATTCAGTGCTATTATCTCACCATCACCTAGGTTTTGAATATCTTTACACTGCAACTTCCCTTTCCCTGGCCTCATTGTTTGCTCAGTTTCCCTTTATGGTTCATTCCACATTCTCCTCCTCACTTTGGATTCTCTAAATAAGATATTTTTGAAAATGTTTTGTGACCCCAAAAAGTGTCATCATAATCTAAATGTGTACCATTGTTTTTCTGATGATTATCTTTTCAGGTCAGGTTAACCTGGTGCAAGTGACCATCCCAGACAGTTTCGTAAATGTGACTACTGGATCTGATGTCACTCTTCTCTGCTTCTACACCACCACTGTGGCCTCCACGGACAAGCTGTCCATCCAGTGGTCTTTCTTTCATAAGAAGGAAATAGAGCCACTTACTGTAAGTTCCTAACCTCTTCCCCTTTGCTAGTTCTGACTGAAAACTGTTGGGGTAATTATGTGAAGGAATGATATGCCAGTGACAACAGTGACAGAACCTGAGATACAAAGTTTGAAGATAGATGTCTAGGGAAGACCATCATGTAAGTGAATTTGCCTTTGTGTTCTCTTCATATTGTTTTATACCTGTTATCTCATTTATGTATAGAGATAACAGGTATAAAACAATATGAAGAGAACTGTGTGTACCATGTATTCTATACTAGACAGAAATGTCTTCTCATGAGTGAAATGAATAGTAGTTCTGAAAGAACATCCCCTCCAAATATCTCCATACTGTCTCAAAGACATTGGATCAATTGCAAGTCCTAATTAATCTGCAGATCTCTTCATCATTTAATATCTTGGATCTATCTGTTAAGGGAACTGGCTCTTTGAACCAGACTGAGTACTGACAGAAGGAAACTACTTATATGGGTAGAGAGGGAGCCACAGTAGAGGTCAACCCTAGGTAAACAAGGATAGCATAAAGCTAGAGGCTCTAAGTTCTGGGGGGAAAAATCGCTAGAGGATGGTAGATAAACATCAATAGGGGAGGATTATTCCACAGGCAAGGTGCCTATTCCCAGATTTTATTCATCCACCCTTGAGGGTAAATCCTTCTTTAAATTAGCGAAAGGATTAAAATTGTATTCTCACAGGTATGTGTGTGCATGTGTTCACATGTGTACATGAGCACATATGCAAAAATGCCCATATATACCCCTTGAAGAAAAAGGTCTTTAGCTTTCACCAAGTTTTCAAAAAACATGCATGAACTAAAGTGGAGTTTAGAGAAGAGACCAATCAGTGTGGTTTGGAATATGCAGTTATTTTGAGTCTTGAAGGAAAGGAAGGGTTCAGTTAGTAGAAAGATAGAGGGAGAATAAGTTGAGTGAGCTAAGGAAGGCCCAGGGGCAGAGGTGGAGGGGAAGGAGGGCATTGGAGGAGGCACACCTTGGGAAGTGTTGCTTCAGCCAGTAATGTTCAGTGCTTAATCCTTGCTTTTACTAGAAATCCTAATCATTTGTCAGCAGGAAACACCATTCAGGGGAAGATTCCATCAATGTCACTATCTAGTCAAATAATTTGCTTAGTACTGGTTACCTCGGACAGATATTTGAATCACTCCGTGCCTCTCTTTAAAATATGATACAACAGCAATACTCAGGAGAATTAATTGACATAATGCATGTGAAAACATTTGGGAAAAATATAAAGCCCTCTAAAGTTTATCCCATGTAAACACCATTATGATTAGCAGCAGCAGTAGTACCACCACCACTAATAAAAACAATTTTTCCACCAGTTTCCATCACCCAAAATGTCCTGACCCAAGACCTTGCATGTTGGAGCCAAGTAAGAAATTATCAGTTTCCATTGCAAGTTGCTCTCGCTTTGAATGTGGATGGCAATAATCACATGATCTTTTTAAAATCCTATTTTCTGACTAGTCTTTTCAACAAACTCTTCATCTGTAGGCTTGAAGTTCTTCTCATTTTTCCAGTAGGGACTGAATTTACAGAGTCTTTGCTAATATATTTTATACTTGATACTCAAATCAAGATGGCCTCACCTGCCTGGAGGCCAGGCAAAGCCAGTCTGAGTTCAAACGCCCAAATTCTTCTATATGCCTCCTTGACAATGGAATTCACAGGGCCACTTCTTCTTTGAACTATGTAGCTAGTGAGGGAGGAAGCTGCAAAGCCAAAGGGTATTGTGACCACCAGTGAGTACTATTTTTTTTTTTTTTTTAGCTCTAAGAATGAACGGGAAGATATGATTAAACTGACTGTGGATTGAGCTCAGGGCACCTCTTAGAAGAACATTGAAAAGAAAATCCATTAACAAATAGGTATTTAATAAGTAGTTTATTTACTTGCCATTTGACTCATTCTTCAGATGTCAGGTACAGCTGCAGCAAATAATTCAAGATATTTACTCTTTAGGGATGTCCAAGCCAAATGAGGTCCTCTCTACTGAGCTGCTGAGTCAGAGAACATGCTCCCTGATCTTAAAACTGCATGAGATCTGTGTGCTATGCTTGGGTTTTAGCCATATGGAGGACAGGATAGAGTAGAAACATCTCTTAACTTGAGAACAGTGAAAACCAACCCCCATAGCACAAACCTCCTCCTCCTGTTTTCCTGTTTTCCTTCAACTCACCCTGACCAGATCCTCATTATAAATATTTGAAGTCTCTGTTTTTGGAGAATGGAAACCCCTTCCCTCTCTCCCCATATTCTGCAGGCATGTACTTCTCTGTGCTTTCCCAAATGAGTAGCTTTAGAGCCCCATTGGAAATCTCCTGACGGATGTCAGTTTATTGCTGTACCACTTACTTACTGGTTGGTTGACCTTACAGAAGTCACTTGACTTTTCAGAGATTTAGTTTTTCCATCTATAAAATGGAACTACATACATACCTCATAGCTTTAATTAGAAGATTAAATGAGATGATGCTTGTGAGGCACTAGGAATCCTTCCACACTGTAGCATTCAGTGAATCTGAGCTAATATTAGTGCCACTGCCACTCACAAAAAGGTGATTTTGCAAAATTCTTATCCCCCTCATGCTTTGGTGTACTAGAGGGACTGGGAAATGGGAACAGGGAACCCAGCCTAACAAGATACACTTAGTATAACTGAACGGCTGAGACAGAGCTCTTCAGGGACATCGTGGCCCTCACTGGCTCACAGATCCACTGTCTTCAGGGTCTCTGTGGCTAGAAATAGACCCTAGACACCTTTTGTACTGCTTCATGTCCCTGAACAGAGATTCTGCTCAGTCAAGGGATTGCAGACTTCCTGGGTTGAGATAGTATTTTTCAACATGGGAATTGGCCTCCATTTCAAGACCCTTTCCTCTTTGAGCACTTCTATGCATTCAAAATTCTGTAGGGCATGCAGTATGCTAATCTATGGATTGCTGGTGGGACATTTTGGGGATGCTAGAAAAACACTTTTGTGTTAGTAGACAATTCAATGATATGGGAGTGAGATGTTGCCAGACTGACCACTGAGTGATTCATTTCAACTCCTGGGTTGATACGATAGTATAATTCAGCTCTCAGATCCACCCATTTCTGCTCAAACACAGCATGGCTCGTGCCTCAATACTGAGGGTTTGGAGGAAAAGGCAGTCAGTCAGTGTCTAAAAATGGCGCATACAAGAGACGCTCGGGGAAGATGTAGCTGGACCTCTCAGGTAAGAACACCTGTTGGTGTACTACTAGACTCCTTCACTGTTTGCAGTCTCTAGGGCACTGGCACAAGCTTCAGGAGTGGGATGGAAGGGTCTGAGTTTAGTGAAAATCCGGATAAGCACAAACCCTTGGCAAAACTGGAAAAGTCTTGATTTCACCTTCTCATATCCACACCTAGAACACTTTTCAGCCTCCTTCAAAAGTTTCAGGGCCCTATCGCTGCCCTCATCTGGGCAGTGACCAGCTCTTGCTACATGCCCATCTTCTCCTCCTCCCCCAAATTGTTGTGTAGAATTGAATCAGAGACCTGGTATTTCTCAGATGATGTTATTTCTTTGTAACTGTCCCATCTAGGGGGTTCCTTTGGTAAGCAGCAACTACAAAAGTAACCCACAAGTTTTCTGACTCAGAGACAAGAATATTCATTAGCATGGTAGTCCGTTTAGAGATGGCCTCTTCTCATAAAATTTGGACAGTTTCAGATAGTCAGTTCTTTGGCAGGGAATCTCAGCTGAAAACTCTGCACCTGGTAGGCTAGCATGGAAATTTTGGACGGTCTGATGGCCCTCGGGTTTCACAGAGGGCCTCTTCTTCCGCCTAGCCTATTACTGGTAAATTTACAGAATTCACCTGCCCATGAACAGAATACACATTGACCCTCCTTAGCATGAGTCTCTTAGACAATACTCTTCTAGAATATTTATAATGGAAGGAACCCTTTGACACACTCATATTCCCAAAACATGCATAAATTGTACAACATCTTTCCAAGGACTTAGTGCCCTCATGTTATGTGGCTTCTCAGATTTTCCAACCTGGTCTGATCACTAGAGTTATGTTAAAACATTAGAATTATGTTAAAACAGAGTTATGTTAAAACATTTTTCTAATGTTGGTATATGGGGGAGTTCCATCACCTCAGGGGCATTTTATAAAGGAGAAGGTATTGATTTGATTGTTAGGACTTGGAGTCACTACAGGGATTTAGTGGGTGCTGGTAAAGATGCTAAATATCCTGCAAAACAGGACAGACCCACACAAAAAACTGCCTGACCAAAATGCTAGTATCACCCTTATTGAGAAATGCTATAAATCTTCCCTCCCTCCCCACCAAAGTTACCTATTTTGTGTCCCATTCCTAAAAGTCTCTATATTTGCTATATCTGATAAGTGAATTTAACACTAAAGTGCTAGGGAGTGGCAATAGCTTATATTGTTGTCTTTCAAAGAAAAGCACTTAAGCTGGAATCTTCTATGACTTCACCCAAAAGTAGCAGATGGTAGGCTGGTAAGAGAGTGGTTTGAGGGCATGAGAGCCTTTCTTTTGGTATTTTATTTCCTCCATATGCAATCCCAACCCTCATAGTACAGACCAGAGAAAATTCTGGGCTTGAGACCTTTGCCACCTAATCCTCTCCCCTTGGCTAGCCTCTCTATGGGAAGTACCAGAAAGCAAGAAGCTTCAAGGGAAATAATGTGTGGTTTGTTGTGGACTTCTATGCCTTCCACATCTCCCAAAGGAAACTGCAAAAGCAGTTCTGGAAACTAAAGGCATTTAGTAACTCCAAGTCTGACTCAAATAGAAAGCAGATGAAATTCTTTCAACCCTTCTTGTTTATATACCAAGTCACTAGTTTGAGAGCAGTGGCATAAAGTTGAAGAAACATCTTTTAGGACAAATCTGGCTCCCAGATGCACAGCATCATGTGACTAGGAACTTAACACAGTAAGAGCGGAAAGCCTGCTCTGCAAAGAACTCAGAGGCCTGCAGTGCAGCTGGCAAATGTCAAGGGCATCATGTAGTGAACCTGCTTAGTGTGGGAAGCATCAGGCCAGTGAATAATGCAATTGGCAAGAGGAAGATCAGACTGGAATGGGATTGAATGGCTCCCAAGGGGAAGGTTGCCTGAAAATCATCTTCCTTGCCTCAGGCAGGAAGGACTGTGAGTGCTACCTGAATATATTCAGTGGGAACGGAAGGTGTGAGTTCTAGGTCTGAATGTAAATTGATTGTGTAACTTTGGGAAATGCTCTTCCACTACTGGGCCCTCATTGGCATCTGTAATAGAAGAGGATGAATCAGTTTGCAAATAGGAGGCCTCTGGACTAGATTTGGCCAGTGGACATATTTTGGTTAGCTCTGTGTTTTTGTTTCCACAGTGTGCACTGGCTCCCCATTCACCACAGTTCCCACCATCCCTTATGATCCCCCCAATACCCGCCAGTCTCTCCCAGCCATTTCCCCATATTTAGAATATTCACCTAGCTCCTAAAGTTTCCTTAGCCTTAGAAACCACGAACTAAGTGATCTCAAAGAGCGTTTTATAACCAATGTGATATTGTGACTCTACACATTAAACTCTAGCATCACCAAGGGAGCAGGCAGAGAGGACCTTGGAAGAAAACAGTGCTGTTTGCTATGAACAAAGGCACAAAAGAGAAAGTGGGCAAAAAAATTAACAAGCACTCCTTAAGGGAACACTGGGATGAATTTTCTTAAAGCAGGACATCTTCACCTCCCACTCTACCCTACTAAGGATGTGGCCTACTGAATATTGGAGGCTTTTCCTGGACCTCAATTGTTTTGATATCTAACTTGACAGTAATATGTCTTTGAAAAGTTTACAGGCCACATAGGATCATGGGTTGGACTTTGGTCATTGTTCAGCTTTGATTTTTAAAAGAGTTATTCTTTTGTGGAAAATAGAACCAAGTTGCAGTGCTTCCTATGTGATTAGATAAGCAGTTTCAGGAAAACGGTTCTTTCTTTTTTCTTTACAAAGATAGTGTGACAGAATCGACTTCCTCTTAAGGAAACCCCCTCCATCTATGTATTCAGCTGCCATTTAGCCACTTTCCCTCTCACACAACACCTGGAGGCCAAGATGATTTTAGGTCTCCATTATTATTCCTCCTTCCTACCTCCGATACCATTTATTGTTATTTATGACAGGAGAAAAGTGATTAGACTGCAGCGTGAAGAGATAGGATAGAAGGATGGTAAAGTTCTTTTTCATGGGTAAGTTACAGAACCAGGACCTCATTGCTTATTTGCTAATTTTACCTCAATTTATGCCCAACTAAGAGAGTTTCGCAGTGGCTTCTTTTCGTGTCCTAATTCTAGCCTAAAATACACTCTATTGGGCCTCTGATCTCTGTAGAAACAAGGACTTTTTCACCTGGATCCTCTGAATTTCAGGCAGGACTGATGTATCTCATTGTTATGTAATCAGTCGTAGGGCTGACCTGTACCCAGTCTTCTTGGGGACAAAGAAAATGGCCAGATGTTTAAGTTCTAAAGGGATTTATTGATGGACAGCAGGCTGTATTCCAGGTAAGAGGCAATGGAGCCTCAAATTGTTGATCAGAAAGTGAATACGCCAGGGTGGCACATGCCTGTAATCCCAGCAGTTTGAGAAGCTGAGGCAGGTGGATTGCGAGTTCAAAGTCAACCTCAGCAATTAATGAGGGCCTAAGTAACTTACAGAGACCCTGTCTCTAAAATATAAAAGGGGCTGGGTATGTGGCTCAGTGGTTAAGCACCCCTAAGTTCAATCCTTGCTACAAAAAAAGTGAATAAGGTAAATGGCTTTTGAAATACTGACCCCCCGCCACCGTCTCACTTGAATACCTTGAGTTAATACCTCTAGTTTATAAACAAGATCACTCTGAGACAAAATGCCTCTGGTTCAGTAGGTGTGAATTATTAATTATAAATGGCTGTAGTTAGGGCAGGAAAGAAAGCATGTTGATGTTAGAAAAAACAGAAGAGACAGTTATTTTTTACATAAATTTGCTTGGTTCTTTCATTTTGCCCTCCAAATATATCTTTCTGTGTTAGTTTTAATATATATTGACTTTCTGCTTAAAGGAAAAGACATTTAAATTTATCTAGACAATATCTTTTGATTTTCTGATTACTTTCTGTCTTTGATCAGTCAATTAGGTAAATAGCTGGAATTAGGTGAACTGAGCTCTAGTCCTGTCTCAACTGTTAATTTTGTGTGTGATATTTTTTTAAAACTTCTCTGGGCTTCAGTTTCTTCTGGAAAGTAAGGGGACTGAATTAAATGAACTGTAAGACCCTTCTAGTTGATTTTATGAAAATGATTAGTCTCTTGGACTAAGGCAATACCAATTTATTGAACAATAAACAACAATCACTGAATGCCTCACATTCATACAAAACTGACAAAATACATACACAGCACATATATATTATGAAGGGACCTCAGGGATTACTTTGCACAGTGATTCCCAAGCTTTAGTCACTCATGTGTCATCTTCATAATTTTTGTTTTATTTGTGGAACACCAGTATTATTAATTACTTAATGTTTTCTATGCTGACTTGATTTCTTAGAATCTTACAAAAATCTGCCTTAGTCTAACCAAAAGTAACAATATACATGAAGCTGCATATTTGATGTGTTAGATATGTCTCTTTCAAACACACATTAAAATTAGTAGATTTTCATTTAGGTACTATCTGAAATCAATTAAAGTGGCTATACTTGGGGAATACATATCATACTTTGGAAAACATTGTTCTGGTTCCTTGTTCAGATGTGGAAACTAAAGGTTAGAGAGATTAAATAACTTTGTTTCTTATCACAAAGCAGGTTGCCATGGAGGCATGACTAGAGGCCACCTCCCCTGCCTATGCCATAGTCAGAGGTAGAGCACAGCCAGAGGGAGAGCTGTGGCCAAAACCCAGTCCATTTAACCATTAAACCAGACCTCTTTTTACCACATCATATTGTTCCCACAGTTCCTTAGACTAATTATGAACTAAGAATCCATGTTCTTTAATGGGACTAAAATGGGACTAGAATCCAGATCTTTCTTAAGCCTAGTAAATAATAATAATAATAATAATAATAATCCCTTTTGGCTTAAGATGTGTCATTTGATCTTTCTGTGTCTGAGTTCCCTTATTTGACATGGAGAGAAAGATGGTAGATACGATTGACTAAGCACTTCCTAGGCCTTATACTAGCTCATGCTGTTTCATACTCAGGAAACACTAGGAAGGATTAGGGCCAGATGATTTCTCAGGAATGTTTCTGTTCTGAAATCTGACACTTCTTTTTTTTAAATTTTTAATTTGTTTTTATTAGTTATACATGACAGTAGAATGCATTTATGCACTTTGATATATCATACATAGATGGGATATAATTTCTCATTTTTCTGAGTGTACATTTTGTAGAATCACATTGGTCATGCAGTCATATATATACATACAGTAATAATGTCTGTTTCATTCTACTATCCTTCCTAACCCCACATCCCTTTCCTCTCCCCTCCCTTTACTTCCCTTTACCTAATCTAAGGTAACTCTTTTCTTCTCTAGTGCCCCTCCCCATCTTACTGTGAATTAGCATCCACATATTAGAGAAAACATTTGGCCTTTGGTTTTTTGGGATTGTCTTATTTCGCTTAGCATGACTTCTCCAACTCCATCCATTTACCAGAAAATACCATAATTTCATTCTTCTTTAAAGCTGAGTGACGAAATCTCATACTTTTAACAAACAGAGGAAATCCAGGTTTGCTTATTCGGAGGCATTTGGGTGTATGAAAAGAATATGAACATCCGAATTTTTAGAGACATCAGATACTATTATTGAGTAAGGTAAACTCAAATCAAAAGTTTATGAAGTGGGGCTGGGGGTGTAGCTCAGTGGTACACAATTGCCTAGCATTTGTGAGGCACTGGGTTCTATTCTCAGCACCACATAAAAACAAATAAATAAAATAAAGATATTGTGTCCATCTACAACTAAATTTTTTTAAGTATATGAAGTGGTAAAAAAAATGACAGTTTTTATTTCCCATCAGACATTTGGTCCTGTTTAACAAGTTTCCTTCAGGAGGACTCAGCACGTGAGCATTTTGGTCTCCTAGACCAGGTTTAAGAGTTAAATCATGTCAGCTCCAAGCTGTCCCCTCCTCTTAGAATAGGCATACAAGCTCCTGCCAAGATGACATCACAGAGTTTATCTGAGGTAATGACTGTGAACAGTTGTAAGAAAATTAAGTTCCCCCATGAACTGACAAAACCTTAGTCACAGAGACCTATTCCCCAGAGAAGAAAGATGCTGCTTCTTATCAAAGGTAATATGAATAGAAGGAGCTTCCAGATAACTTATCCTAGTCATGGACACTCTCTAGTTCTCATTTCTGTTATTTTCTGTCCTAGGTTTACTATTCTGAAGGTGGAGAAGGTCAGGCCTCTGGACAATTCAAAGATCGAATTATAAGGTCCACCATTCCAGGTAATGCATCTATCACTATATTGCGTATGCAGCCAGCAGACAGTGGAATTTACACCTGTGATGTCAACAACCCTCCAGACTTTGTTGGCAATAACCAAGGCACTCTGCACGTCACTGTGTTAGGTATGGACACTTTTATCTTCTTGGAGCAACTCAGGACAATGAATGACCAGGGTACCTAGTTATGATGCTAAACAGATCTCTGGGGATAAATATACTTACTGTTCCTTTCATTACAGGGGAAACAGAGACACACCACCAACTCAACCTGTACAAGAGCACTGAGAAATCATTAATAAAACATGTAGAAGCAATTTCCCAAACAAAAAGGGCTGTCAAAATGACAACAGTAGATAATCCAAACTCCAGATAACTCTATTTCTGAAGAATACAATGAGAACAGATGAGTCAAGTCACTGTCCACCCCAAATGATCACAAGCAACTATTTCAGAGGGAACTTCCATCCAATTAGAGCCAGACTTACCTGGAGGAGACAAATGTCAAATTATTACTTCTCCAAAGTCTACTACAATTCCATGAAATCCTAATGGCAGGATTTTCTCTTTTAAAAATGCTCATGCTATTTGGAAAAGGGAACACACATTAGGCCATTGTTAAGAACTTCTGTATATACATATATTCATTATATGATGTTAAGCAAGTCATATCTGCTCTCAAAATGAATTTGGAGTAGTTCCTTGTATTCAGGATTTATTGACTGCCAACTTTGTCCCAGGATGGATAGGGTCATCATAAGTGATGGAGACATGTTTTCTGCCTTTAGAGAGCTCCAAATTTTGGTGATCTCTAGTGATCCTTCCAACTTTTATCTGACAGGACAATGGGGGCTAAACCCTGCAGGGCCTGGGAGTGGGAATTACTAAAGGGTGGAAGGAAAGGACTGGCAACACTTACTACCTACCCAGTTTACTAAGCATTTCCTACTTCTAAATAATCCTAAATGGAGTTGATGTAGTCATTGCTCTTCTCCAACTATGTATATACATCATACAAAAGGAGGCATTAGATCAAATCAGTAATAAGAGTTGCTTGGAGAAGCAGCAATTGGTAACAAGGTGCATACCTAGGAGAACTGCTCACAATTGCCTTAGCTTGCCACTGATATGATGGCATACAAGTACAGCTAATGTTTACCATGAGGTTTGCCACTGCATCTAACCACCTGGAAAAGAGGGAAAAGTACCCAAGAGCTATTGTTTAAGATTGGATTAGTTCAACCCTTTGTGTTTTACCTTGCTGAGTACTGTGCTAGGCATAGGGGTACAGAGAAAGAGAAAAGAGTTTATGTTGTAGTTTGAAAGACTAGCCATATACATGGGAACTAAATGGTGTGGTATGAGTGCCAAAGCATCAAGATGGGAGTCAAAAGACCTAAGTTCTAGACCTTATTCTGTACTCAGTGATTTCATGCAAATCAGTTCATTTTTCTCTGGTCATTGTAAGATGGGATTATAACTGCCCTGTCTTCTTTAGTGATTTGTTGTAAAGATAAAATGAGATATAAGCGATTAAAGAGCTCTTTAATGTTCAAATAATTTGAGAGATTAATTCTCTAACTGATTTTGTTTCTCCCTGACTCCAGAGTGTTCTGAGCAGAAGCAATCTAAAGAGGCAAAGCTTCTTCAGAAAGGACTTGGAAATAGCCCTGAGATAAACTTAGACAAGAAGGTTGATGTTCTTAAATTTAAGCTTCAGAAGATTCAAATCAATTTCTCTAAGAAGTTGAGGGTAACTCTCCTGTGAGTTATTCTTTCCAATGAGTCTTTGAGTCAGCTAATTCCTGTCATGACTGTTTCATGACTTTACATTCAGCTAGGACCCAGGCAAGGAAAGAGACCAAAGGGTCTATAGATTTCTTTGTTCAGGAAGTCTCAAAATTTGTATCTTTATTCATTGGGTGAAAAACAAGCCATCCTACAAATTTAGCCTTTCCAGAAATTTCAACATGGCTAATTTATCTTTTTTAACTTTTATTTTATTTATTCATTTTTTAATGCAATGCTGAGAATTATACCCAGTGCCTCACACATGCAAGGCAAGTGCTCTACCACTGAGCCACATCCCCAGACCCTGGCTAATTTATTTTTAAAATGCAGAGAGTATTTGCAATTATCAAATCCCATTGCATATGAGCACCTATTCTGCTTGCTCTACTGGGGGTTTAGCAAGGTGGGTATAGGTGGATATGGGAGACCAATTGTGGAAAAAGATATTCATGTTTCCTTAATGGTAGCTCTTTGCAGTAAAGTGTCTTTCAGAGACATTTTATCATCCAGCAGTGAACACCAATCCCATATATAACCTGTGCATTCATGAATTAATTCATCAAATCCTGAGCACATGTGTCCGTAACAGTGGTTAACAATGAAGTTGGGAAGATGTAAAAGATAGGGTCCCAAACCTGTAAAAGTTCAATCAAGTGAAGGAGACAAATATGTAACATAAAAGCTTTCTTTGGAGGTGTGAGAGGATAGTTGTAAGGGCACAAGGAAAAGATCTAAACGCTGTGAAAGGAGCCAGGTGTGGTGGTCACACCTGTAATACCAATAGCTCAGGAGGCTAAGGCAGGAGGATCACAAGTTGGAGGCAAGCCTCAGGAACTAGTGAGGCCCTAAGAAACTTAATGAGAGCCTGTCCAAAATAAAATAAAATAAAATAAAAAATAAAAAGGGTTGGGGATGAAACTCAGTGGTTGAGCGCCTCTGGGTTCAATCACTGGTACAAAAAAAAAAAGAACAAAAAGCTGTGTAAGGGGAACTAGAAAAGGCTTATTAAGGAAAGAGACTTTTATGCTGACTGTTGAAGGATGTGCAAGAGTGTGTCATGCAGAAAAGGGGCTGAGGTGGCAGGGTACAATTTAGGTGAAGGAAATGGCAGTAAGCAAAGAACCAGGTGGTTTGGATGAACATTCATTTGAAAGATTTCCATTAGTTATGACAACCTTGGAAAATCAATCTCTGAAAAATACCCAGGTCAAGTCTGAATAATTATTTTGTGTGCATTTGGAATAAGCATTATCTCCCTTTTGCAATTTGGCACATAAAAATAAAATGATTAATTTAGAGAAGGTTTGAGAACACACTGAAGCAATTTCATTTATTTTCTGAGGTAAGACTTCTCTTCCAACACCAATTCTGTTGAAAGCAATAAACCTAAAGGGTAGATCAATGGCTTTGCCAGTGAAATATCTAGGTTCTACAGGGGACTTTAACCAGATAACATGTCAATTCAATTTTGATTCAGTAGTTTTGGAAAATATGTAGATTTGGCACTTGTTTCAAAGTGATTCACTAATTGTTTTGTCAATAAAAATAAAAGAAAGATGTGTTTAGCAAAAAAGTTTAAAAAGCCTATCTGGGTTTGAATCTAGGCTCAAGGAATAAGAGCAAGTCATTACAGGTTTCTGTCTATAATTAGTTCAAGTCTGACTTTTTCCCAAGGAAACACCCATATTTAATTTTTGTTCAAATTGTTATATCATGCTGGACAGTTATAAAATACTCATATTTTTTAAAAGTGGAAATTCTAGTGATAGTTGCAATGGACTCCTGGTCAAATGGCCTAGTTCAGGATAGGCAGACCAAGTTGGAACTTGGGAACATCTGAGAAAACCATTGGTAAGGAAGATAAAATCAAGAGCTAAGTAGAACATCCTTTTCATCAAAAGACACGTTTCCAAGATATGACTAGTGAAGTGTTTCAAAGTTATAACTGGATGCATTTTTCTTCTTGCTTATGTGCACAAGAAGTTAAAGTTTGAGATGGCTGAATAGAGCAGGAGTTGATGGAAGATTAAGTTCAGTAGCAGAAATTAGTACTCTCCATGCTAACAGAATTCCATGTGCAAGGCCCTATATACATAATTTTATTAAATCTTTGGATCAGCCAGAGGTTAGATATTCTCTCATTCTCATTTTCCAGATGAGTCAGCTGGGGTTTGGTTAAGTTAGGTAACTTGTCCAAACACATCTAGGGTGAAGTTGTAGAGCCAGTATTCTATTTGGGACCAGAGCTTTACTCTTAACTATCATGTTGCAGGTTAAGAGATGAAGGGCTGAGTATTTAAGATGTAACTTGTCTAAGACAGAGAACATCAGCCTTTGGAGGGTTTTATATTCAAATTAAGATAAGGTAAGGGCAACAGAATAGAATAGACAATTTGATTGACGTATGTACATTCCATGTATGTATTATATGTCAAAATGCATTCTACTGTCATGTATGACTAAAAAAATAAATAAAAATTTAAAAAAATAAATTAAAAAAGATAAGGATGGTGAGCTGGTCGAGGTGGTGCACACCTGTAATCCCAGCAGCTGGGGAGGCTGAGGCAGGAAGATTGCAAGTTCAAAGTCAGCATCAGCAACTTAGCAAGGCCCTAAACAACATAGTGAGACCCTGTCTCTAAATTTAAAAAAAAAAAATATATATATATATATATATATATATATATATATATATATATATAGTGCTGGGGATGTGGCTCAGTGGTTAATCACCCCTGGGTTCCATCCCTGGTACCCCCCCCAAAAAAAAAAGGGAAGGTGAGTTGGAAAGTATAGAACTTTTGATCATTATCTGTGTATATAATTAAGGATAGAATGAGCTGTGCAAAGTAAGATGAATGGGGAGATTCAGTTTCAGTTTTCCAGCTTCTTCATCCAGGTATTTTCATAATTAGCTAAAAATCAGTCACATACCAAACCACCCTCATTATAACTCCTTCCTCCTCATCATTCCTTTCCCTAAAGCCTGCTGTTCTACATGCATTCTTTATCTCAAATTATGGCAAGATCATGTACCCAGTTGTCCAATTTAGGAGCCTGGAAATCACCATAGATCCCACAATCTTCCCTCATTCCCCATATACAGTTGCCTCTAGCTTAGTACCTCTTGAAACTGTCTCCTCTTCTCCCTTGGTTTAGGCACCCCCAATGTTAGAGAGAGCCATCTAAAATGTTAAAATAACCATCATCACTAACCTGTTTAAAGTCTTTCCATGATCTCCCTGCTCTTAGAATACATGGACTGTAAAGCTCTCCAAGGTATGACTCCAGACACTCTCTAACTTCATCCCTCATCACTCTCCTCTACCCAACTTCAGAAATGTGCCAATGTTACTTTTATATCCCTGGAACTTAGTCCAATGTCAGGTACACAGGAGGTACATAAATAAATGCTTGGTGTGGAGGCAGAATAGAGATTGCATAGCTGTGTAATGTGCACACCCAAAATAGGTTTCCCCTGCTGATGAGAGACACAGGCAAATTCAAATCTCCCAACCATTTTGTGTCACTCCCAGATGAATAAATGAAAAAAAAAGACCCATAAAGGAATAAACAAATATAGTATTAATAGAACTATTTTTAGAGTGAATAGAAACAGTTTATCTCAAGTTATTTAAGGGTTCTATTTTCCTTTAAAACTGATTTTCAAGTATAAGCTATGTTCATAGTTGTTTAGTGTTTGCTTACATTTGGCTGTTTTATTAAAGGCATATTTTAAGACACAATGCGGAAATTCATGGTTATAAATCTGGGGAGGAGGCAGACAGAGACACTAGTTGAATCTTAATGGCCTCCTGACTAGAATGTCCCAGCACCTGAAGTGCTCTACTCCCATCTGGTGGTACAATCAGAAAACAGTCAAAATAAATAAATAAATAAATACACACACACATATTTATGTATCACTCATATACCACTATATATATAATTTTTAATAAACATATATTCTGCAAAATGAAAGTGAAGAAGTGACTGCAGTAGTCACAGGCTGCCATGCATCCTGGCAGGAGTTTTACTCTTTGCAATTGCCTTACAGTCAAACCTTCTAAGCCACTTTGTAGCATCCAAGGAAGACCAGAAATGGGCCATAGTATTTCTCTGACTTGCCTCTCTTCTTTTGGAACACCATCTCCTGTGTACCACTGGTATAAACTCGAGGGAAATAATGCTGTGCCAGTGAAAGAAAGCTTCAGTAAGTATCACCTTTGGCAGTCCTTGGCAAGGCCTGGTTTGGGGGGTTGACTGATGGCATATGTGGCTGGCTGCTCAATATTGTCTTTTTCTTGGTTGGGGGAGAGGAATTTAAAAAGAATACCTGTCTCCCAACATAAGCCTCTGGTCTTAACTACTCCCCAACTTCCAGAAGCCAGCTCTAGGTATAGTTCTACATGGTGGTAGATGGGCTACCTTTGGAACAGGCCCAAGGGAACTAATTGGTCCCTGGACATCTTATGAAAGGGAGGGCAATATGGGGGAGTGGGTGGGCATTGAATGATATATTACACTGACATGATTCGTACGTACCTATATAAGATATTTTAATAGTTTATTTCCTGGTTTTGACAGACCCAAACACTGGAATTTTGGTTATTGGAAATCTGACAAATTTTGAACAAGGTTATTACCAGTGTACTGCTATCAACAGTGTTGGCAATAGTTCCTGTGAAATTGATCTAACCTCTTCACGTGAGTTGGTCATATATCTTTAACAGTTTCTCCTTGAGTCTAGTAGCCTGGACCTGTACATTAATTAGGATCTCTGGTTGGTTGTTTCTGCCTCTCTGGAGATTTGTGTGCTTTATTTATAGATTGATATGATGAATGCTCATCCTAATATCTAATGCTTGCATGAAGCTTAGTATGTTCCCTAAATTAAGCAAATTGTTTAAGCTTTGCAAAAATCTCTAGGGAGAAGATATTGATATTTGATAAATGTAGCAATCTCATTGACAGTATCAACCTGTATTTCTCTTTATGATGCTATTGGTATATTCAGGTGACACTGTAGCTATGTCAAACACAAAGTTCACAAATTTTCCAATTCTTAACTATTTGGTAAGATCTGTCCCTAATAATAATAATACTCTCACCCACAATCACTTTTATGTAACAAACACTTGGCCAGGTGCTCATGAGCATTATCTCACTCAATCCTCCCAACCATCTTGTGTATGGAGGCAGAATATATTATTAGCCTTATTTTATTGAGGAAGACACTGAAGCTCCGGGAGTCAAATTACTTGCTCAAGGTCATTGAGTTAGTAACTGGTAGAGGCAGGTTGTCTCTGAACCTCAATCATCCTGTTCAAATGTGCTTACTTTCTCTCTAAGCACAATACTTATGAGCCCTGGAATTGTCAAATTGGATCCATCCAGGGGGCTAATTTTCTTCATTATTTGTCCTGAAGTTTGCTCTTCATTCTCATATCACTTTCAAGTAAAACCTACAAGACATCTGGGGTAGAGCACTTGCCTAGTATGTGACACACTGGGATCAATCCCCAGCAGCACATAAAAATAGATAAATAAAATAAAGGCATCAAATTTAATGATTTTCTGGAAGTCTTGGGATTAGGGATAATGCATTTTAAAAATAAACAAATATGAAAAAAAGAAAAGAAAGGGGGCAACCAAACAAATACACAAATAAGGCAATTATTAGCTTTGAGTAAAAGTTTTTAAAAATGTTGTACAAGGAAGAATTGTAGTATGTTATGTTCTTTGTCTGTGTGCAGTATTTACGTGGTCATAATACTGCAAGCTTTGTTTTAACTAAAACTTTATGTTATGTTTTTTGTCTGTGTTCAGTATTTACGTGGTCATAATACTGCAAGCTTTGTTTTAACTAAAACTTGTGATAGATTAGGAGAATGTGGTGGGATTTGAGTGAAATGTTGTAAAAGAACTAAATTTCCAGGGTAGGAAATTTAAAAAAAAAATGAAGATCAAAAAAGGTAGGACATTCCAGGAGAAGTACAATAGAAACACAGGGGCAAAGGTACTTTTAAAAAAGGATCAAGAGTGCTTGCCTGTAGTGATTGGGACCCAGAGATGGGGAGGAGTGGAGCAGAAGGTCTGCTGTTTTTGTTAGAAGTTTAGAACTATTTGACTTTTTAAATTATTGACTTTTAAACTTTTAAAATTATTAATTAAATTAATTCCCCAAAGTTAAAGAAATTATTTAGTGATTCAACTTGTCTCCCATCTCAAAATACAAGCTGTCCATCCTTGTTTGAGAAGAAGTGGATGGAGATGAGCCAGCATAAAACCCAGACATGTTCTTTCAGGGACAACACCTCCAGGCTTGAAGGTCTGGGGCTCAGCTGGATTGTCTCACGCTAATTAAATTTTTCCATACCCTAATGTAATAAACCAGATGCTGGTTTATCAAAATAGCCATATTCCTTCCTAGTAGCCAGAACGCACAAGGCTCCTCAGTGATCATGGACTATGTGAGGTAGAAGGTTTTTAAGAACCTATTTCATCTATGCTCTGAGAAAGCCTGGTGAAATGTCCCTACTTACAACAGAGGCATATTTCTGGTGACTAGATTGCAACTCCATGCTCTACTGTCTCTTCCTGTCTCCCTCTCTTTCTGAATAAATTAACACTGAACACTTTCTTCTCTAAACCCAACATCTAAAACAACCTTGTTTGTCCCAACTCAGCATATTTTTTTCTCTTTGTGTGTAAATGTCAATGGATTAAGCTACATAATCAAGCCAGTCATCTTGCTTCACTCACTCTAAATCCAACTGGCAGAGTTCTAGGGCTTTCTGTTCCATCAGTCTACAGGAGTTACTTCCCTGCTATGCGAATGTTCCAGATATTCTATACCAGTCACAAGCACACACATGACACACATGACATGACAATTTGTTTCCCTTTACTAAACATCTAGCTGTTTGTGTCTTCCAGACCCAGAAGTTGGGATCATTGTTGGTGCCTTGATTGGTACCCTGATAGGTGCTGCCATCATCATTTCTGTGGTGTGCTTTGCAAGGAACAAGGCAAAGGAAAAAGAAAGGAAGAGGAATTCTAAAACTACCACAGAACTTGAGTAAGTTCTCATTACTTGAATACAAACTTTTGGCTTGTTGTCTTCACTAGAATACAAACATTTTTCAGGCATATCTCTTTCAGTCAGTCATTCATAAGCACTCCTTTTAGCATCAGATATCACAGGTATCTTTCTACTCATTGCTTTTACAAAAAGAATGATAGTGGCTACCATTTACTGAGTCCTGTGTGCCACACTCTGTTCTAAGCACATATGCACATCAATTCATTTAACTACCAAGACCACACTTTTAGATCCAAGAAAACCTTTTATGATATAATGCTAACATACTTGTCTTTATAAAAGCACAGTCATAAACGTAATTTTAAATATTTTTTATATAACAAGAGGCTCATGATGGCAAAAGTGTCTAGGGATCATAGAAGTCATAATGTGGCCCTGCCATCAGCCCATGCTCTTGACCACTCTCCCGTTTCTTTAGTGAAGAACACACTCATTCATTTGTTCACCCATCTGCTTGCTTCCATAACTATGTGTTGGGTACCAACCAGGTGTCAAATGTGATGCTAGATGGAACCAAAGATAAAGATGAATCACAGCTGTGAATTTAGCCCTCAGAGACCTTATTAAATTCACCCTGATATTAGTTTTCTCAACTTTTAAACACAGTTCTGACATTCTTGAATTTTCATTATATTTTTGAGACCTAACCCTTTTGAACCCCCAAATGGACATACAGCATCTGACAGTGAGCCAGAATATCAGAATTAACAGATATCCTGAACAGTCTAGGAAGGACCTGTGTCACTGAAGCTATAGAGTGTATGGCTCCACATGAAATTTCAGTTATCAAATCCCTAACTTGATCTTTTCTGGACCTTCTTTCTTGTAGACCAATGACAAAGAAAAATGAAACCCGACAGAATGAAGCCATTCCAATGGAAGATGTTATCCAGCTAGAAGCAACTCTGCCACCCTCCACTCATGACACTGACCCTACTATCATCTTGGAACCAGACCATGAGCCTGCCCCAAAGCCAGAGCCTGTCCTAGCACCTGTCCTAGGAAAGGAGCCTGTTCAGATGCCTGAGATTGAGATTGAGCTGGAGCCAGAGCAGGTACTGGAGCTGGAGCCAGAGCCAGAGCCAGAGCCAGAACCAGAGACAGAGCCTGGGGTTTTGGTTGAGCCCCTGTGTAATGAGGAAAAGGATGTGATTAAGACATAAATTAGTGCCCTGAGTACATCATTCATCACTAAGGAACCCATTCATTGTATCTGGAATTCACTTGACCTAACCAGTCCACACCCCCTCCCTCCATTCTGACCAAGCCTCTTCTAACAAGGTGCTCATTTTTAACATGAATCCAAAATAAAAGGGTCAGGATAACTATTAAATAAATGCAAGGGTTCCTGCATCATCAATAGAGAATACCTAAAATTATACTAACATGCATAATAAATGACAAGGCAAGTGATTTCTAACTCATTTGAAAGAATTTTTCTGAAATATTCAGAAATCTTTCTTGTTTTTAGCTTTTCTTCATATGTTCCACATGCACACACCACAAGGTGGCATTAATTAGATTCAATATATTTTCTAGGATTAATTAGTTGTCAGGCTTCCCTATTTGTTGTTATATTTACCACTAAGAAAAGAATTTGACAGCACTATCTCATAGATTAGGAAAAAGTTCTTCAAAATCAACAGAGGTGTGTGTGTGTGTGTGTGTGTGTATGTGTGTGTGTGTGTGTGTGTGTGTGTGCGTATTTAGCATTTAAAACCAGGTTTTATAATTGATACATTTATCCTGATAGATTTCCGAATGAATCATCCTGGTGACTAATATCTAAGCACAGCAGAATTTTAAAATAATCCAATATTTAAATGCCAAATACTATACAGGCAAACAATTAGAAGTATAATTTTCCTTCAGTGAATGCAAAGTGTTGATAGATGATGTACAAGTTAGCTTTGAATATAGGTATTACGTTATCACTGTGATGTTATTTTTATCTACTTTGAAGGGGCACTCTAGGAAAGTGTTCTCAATGAACACTTCAGATCTATTTTAGATAATAACAACTACTTACAAAATCTGTTTTACTGTTGGTATACTCCACATTGATAAAGAGATGTTATTCTTGTGTATATGCTACATATTAACAAAAATGCATTGATATCTCCTTTTCTTCACTTGTTAAGTTTTTTCATGATCTTATTTCACTCATATCTCACCTTGAAGAAATTTACAGGTAGACACACTTTTTCACTTCTGTAATCAATTGTATTTTAAAACTTATTTTAAGGATCAATAAATAATACTCAATAAAATCTGAGTTTGATGACTCCGAAGGTAAATCCTTTCATAAACAACTTTATTGACATATAAATTATGTCATTAAACAGCACCACATTTGATGAATTTTAAGTTTTGCATATCCACAAAACCATCATACCTATCTAGATAAGGATCTTCCATCACCCCCAAATACTCCCCCATGTCCCTTTGCACAATCCCACTATACCCTGCACCTCAGCAAACAATGTTTTCTTTTTTAGATTTTTATTTATTTATTCATTTATTGGTTCTTTTTAGTTATTTGTGACAGCAGAATCCATTTTGATATAATTATACCAGCATGGAATATATCTTATTCTAGTTAGGCTTCCATTCTTGTGGATGTACATAATGGTGGGTTTCACTGTGATGATTTTATATATGTACATAGGAAAATTATGTCTGATTCATTCAACTGTCTTTCCTTTTCCTATCTCCCTCCCTTCCCTCCATTCCTCATTGTCTTATCTACTGAATTTCTACTTTTTACTCTGCTTTATTGTGGGTTAGCTTCCACATATCAGAGAAAACATTCAACCTTTGGCTTTTGGGGACTGGCTTATTTCACTTAGCATGAAATATCAGAACATCATTTTTCATAAAAACTATCCCATTCACAATAGCGTCAAAATATTTGGGAAGCAATCTAACAATAAAAGGTTAAAGACCTCTATAATGAAAACTACAGAACACTAGAGAAGGAAATTGAAGAAGACCTTAGATGATGGAAAGACTTCCCATGTTCTTGGATAGGAAGAATTAATATTGTCAAAAATGCTTTCTATCTCTATGGATTAGTTTTGCCTTTTCTTTCCCTTCTTACAAATGGGATTACACAGTATGTATTTTTGTGTGTTTGACTTTCTTCTAAAGTGAATCCTTTTCAAGAGAGGTATGGATCACTAACTTATCACATCCAGATTTACATATAAAGAATTTTCTTAAACTACAAACTCTCTTCTCTATAGATCATACCTACATGCCAATTGAAGTAGAGTCTTTGTAGTTTTTAAGGTGGATTGAAATGGAAATTAACACTCATTTTTTCAGAGCCATGGAGAGAAGAGATAGCGAACTTATGTATTATCTTTGATCTGTCAATTTGCAGTCAGTCTCAGAGTTTTGAAGCATCTATAATTCCATTAACAGAAGACAGTGCTATAATATATGGTGTCTCATGGGTACAGACAGCAAAACGATGAAGGTCTTAAGAATGACCTTTAATCCAAGATTAAACACTAAACACTAAAAATGTCAATTATCAGAATGTTAAAGTAGCTGGAATTAATTTTACCCTTCTACTTTGATGATAGAGACAAATCACAGGAAAAGACTGACAAGTAATTGTCAATATTACACCCCTAAATTTCTGAAGGATCAGTGGTGACCAGGTAGAAAGGCAGTATTGGCAGTCTTGTAGAGCTCTGTCCTTATTAGCAATGTTCTGTTCAAAATATTGATATATAGTTGGGTTGATGGTTTTTAACTTTCTTGAAATCATGAATCACTGTGAGAATCTGCAGAACAATCTGGAGCCCTTGTCATTGAAAAATGCTTATAAAGTGTGATATGCAGTTTTAGATTAGTTATACACTCCCTGAATGCAAGATTAAGAAGAGTGACTTAGTTTACTGTTTAACAGAATCATGATTCTAAATGATCTTGACAGCTTGGAAGATAAGCTGAAATTAATACAATAAATTAGACATGAATGGATGGAAAATCTGGAATTTAAGTAATAGAAAACATGTTGTCCATGTAGAAACTATATCTGGATAAAGTTGGGAAGTATGTGAGTTTCATCTGAAATGGTACCTTTGGATCATTTAGGACTCCTTCTTGGTCATTGCAGCAATTTATTTTCCAGACACCCAGGCTTCCCATGCTCCTATTTGCTTAGGAACCTACTCAGGTCTGCATCCCCCAGGCAGGATTAACTACTCAGAACCGACTTCTACATTTTCCACCTTTCAAAAGATGCCTGTTTTGTAACCTTGTTCAGTGAACATGAACTTTCAAACTTTCATCATCCTGTGATTTCAATCAGGTTGATAAAAGAGTCCTCTTAAGGAGAATTTACACCCCCTGCCTTTTTTGGCAGTACTGGGGATAGAACCTAGGGACACTTTGTACCACTGAACTACATTTTCAGCCCCTCAAAAATTTTTTTTTTTTTGAGACGGAGTCTAAGTTGCTAAGGCTGATCTCATACTTGCAATCCTCCTGCTTCACTCTCTAAGAGTTGCTGGAATTACAGAACACTCCTGTCTCAGACTTCCAAATTGCTTGGATTAGGGGATTCTCCTGCTGCAACCCTCAAATTGCTGGGATTACAGGATTCTCCTGCCTCAGCCTCCAGAGTCATTGGGATTACAGATATGTACCACTGCATCCAGTAGGCATATTTACATTTTAAAAGGAACTCTTGAATATGTAACCCTTAATTCAAAGAGTCCAAGTGTTGGAATCTCAGGTACTGGAACAATCCAGAAGAGAGAGATTTCTGGACAAAAGAGCATTTTTGGTTCCTTTCAAGTCAAATTATGTGGGTTGCCATCCACTCAGCCTACTTATAAGGTTACTCTGGTCAATACAACTTCATCCCAGTCTACTTTAAGTACATTCAAGACACAATCTATATGTATGCTTGTGATGAATCCTGAGACTGGTAAGATAACGACATAACAAAATTAAGTATACTATATCCCACTTGGGCAGTAAAATGGGTTTATATGTTAAAGAGCAGCCCGATAAAGAAATTTTTTTTCCAGCTTCCTCAACACTGGATCAGAAGATATTCTGACTAGTTAAGCTGATAAAATTATTTCAGCAAAATTTTTTTTCAGAGACAGTACTAAATTATTTTTCTATAAGCAGTTAAAATTTAAGTGGGTAGTCCCAACCAAACCTTAAGCCAGGCTTGGGTTTAACCATCTTTTTAAAAAAATTATTTTAATTTTTTTGTAGTTGTAGAAGGACAGAATTCCTTCATTTTATTTGTTTATTTTCATGTGGTGCTAAGGATCGAACCCAGTGCCTCACAAGTACCAGATGAGTGCCTTGCCACTGAGCTACAGGCCCAGCCTAGGTTTAACCATTTTACCACTCAAAAGGATTTCCAGAGACATCTCTAATCTCTTTGTTTTTGAATTTAATATCCTTTTGGTGGTAGATCCATATTCCCTCCTAATTCATTTCTTTATACTATAACCCATTGGACAGTTACTAAAAAGCTACAATGTAATAAGCACTGTTGTTGGTGCTGGTGGTGCAACAGAAACAGTGAGCCCTTATCTTAATGGTGAATGCAATTTTGCTATCTTTGACAAGTTCTTGTGTATTACCAACAATTGTGTGTTGACTACAGGAGAGGAAGGTTGGAATTTGTATTGCATTGGAGAGGGTCTCCATATTATAGTGATCTGTGATGAAAAACAGCAATTCTTGACCAATAGATAAAAACCCCACACATATTGATATCTCTTATGCCCTCTAAAATACCAGGTGATTCCCCTCACAGAGTGTATGGTAAAAAGTTAATATTAGCCTTTTACACTGGCCTCTGTGTCACTTATGTTTGAGGAACTTTCAGTAGGAATTTCAGAGCTAGAAAAGAGGTTTAAGATCAACAGTACTCAATCTTTTTCAATCCCAGTACACTTGAAGGTTATAACACATATAATAATCTCTCCTAACAATGATGAGACTGCAGATAAGATATGATGTAGAATCATATCCTTGATAGGGAAGACAAGGAAGGGGTCAATGTAATTTCAAAAAGCTGGTTCATTCATATATATTGCCACCAAGCCCACAGAGGAGAAACTTTTGAGTAAACAGATGTAAAATAATCTGCTTGAGGTTATACGAAAAAATGAGATGAGATACAAAGTCTGGTTCCCAGTGTGTTTCAGTCAGCTTTTTCATTCCTGTGACCAAAAGACCAGACAAGAATAATGTAAAGGAGTAAATGTTTATTTTGGCTTATGGTTTCAGAGGTCTCAGTCCATAGACAGCTGACTTCATTTCTCTGGACCCAAGGTGAGGAAAAACATAATGGAGAAAAAGCATAGTGAAAGAACATAGCTCAGGACATGACAACCAGGAAGCAGAGAAAATTCTGTTCATCAGGGATAAAATATAAGCCCCAAAAGCACTCCCTAGTGACATACTTCCTCCAGTTACACCCTACCTAAAGGGAGTTATGCATAGTTAATCCATATCAATGGATTAATACACCAATTAGGTTGTACCTCTCATAATCTAATCATTTCACCTCTGAAAACTCTTGCATTGTCTCACACTCAAGTTTTTTTGGGACACCTCATATCTAAACTATAACAAGTATAATACTCTTTCAACTGCACCAAACTACTAATTTCCATGGGAAAAATTTTTATCAATAAAAGATTGTTTTACAATGTCTACATGCTGGAAAACAGGTTAGAGGACCTCATTAAATATTCAAACTCACTAATCCCACTTGTCTTTGAAAATTTGGTATAAAAGCAAAGAATTCAAATGACCAGGGCTCCAGGAAACAAACAAAACCTAATAAAGAAAAGGAGTTCCTCCTTTCAACAACAGTTACTAGAATAATCCAGAGGAGAGAGATATCTGGAAAAGGAGCTTCTCAGCTTCTTTCAAATCAAATCATGTGGGTTGCCATCCACTCAGCATACTTATAAAGTCACTCTGGTCACTGGAACTTCACATCAAGCAATTCTACAATTCCCTGTGGACACCAACTGGGTTTCCTACAACATAATTCAATAGCAACATTACCTGGAGTTACTACAAACCCCACAGGTCAAGGGCTAGGTCTCACAAGACGGCTCCCTTCAAACACTAGTCACAAGTATTGGGTGTCCATCCTAATTAGAATAAGATATACTCCATGTATGTATGTCAAAATATACTTTACTGTCATGTATATCTAAAAAGAACAAAAACAAATGAATAAAACAAGTATTGGGTGCCCAGTGTATCCATATTTCAGATTTGGATGCAAATTGGGAATTCTCACAATCTCCTTCTCAGGTTGGATAATTTGCAATAATGGCTTACAGAACTCAGGGAAATACTTATATTTAACAGTTTATCAGAAAGGATAAACGATATACATGAGCAGTCATCTGAAGAGGTAAATAATTTGAGGTTCAGGAGGGTTCTGAGCATAGTTTCTGTCCCCATGGAGTCAGGGTGTATTATTCTTCTGGCATGTAAATGTGTTCACCAACCTTGAAGTTTGTTAAACCTCATAGTTTAGGGATTTTTATGGAGGTTTTATCATGTAGGAATAATTCATTATTAACTTAATCCCCAGCCCCTCCTTCTGGAGGATGGGGGATGGAGTTGACAAAGTTCCAAGCTTCTGAACATGGCTTCTGATGAACAGATCCATCCTGAAGCCATCTAGGAGCCCAGGAGTTGCATCATTAGAACAAAAGACAAGCCTATTATAATGGAACTCATTTAAATTCACAAGCCCCAAGTTGTTTCTTCTCATTCTTCTTCATGTCCTGTTAACCTGTTTGAAAAGCCAGTTTCTCCATTCCAGCTTCCTAAAAGCCATGTCTTATGCTGAGAAGAGAAGTTAAAACTGCCCTCCCCCAAAGCCCTGACACCAACAAAGGTCAGAGAACTGGAATTCTAACATACCCCTCCTGGAGTACAGCTTGGCTAAATCTACCTATGCATATTTCCTGGCTTTTTGTTCCTATAAATTATAACAGCGAAGGCAGATTGGCTGTTTTCCCAGTTTGGGCTGAATTGTGATTAAATTCATTTTTCTTTTTTTAAAAAATCATTTTCTCTTATTTCAGGATGAAGGTAGGCAACCAATCTAGTTAGCTGGGACCTCAGTAGCCTCTGGCCTAGGCCCTGGTAATACCATCACCTAGGAAACTCATAGGAATTTAAAAGCTTCATGTAAGATACTCCTATAACTTCCAACACTTAGGAAATTACAAGGGTTTTAGGAGCTCTGTGCCAGGAACCTGGGACCAAAACCAAACCAGTATTTCTTATGTCACAGCCAATTTAAAGAAAAGTACAGGGTAGGTATTACAACTAATGGGTTATTATCAAAATGCCAGAGTACCTTCCATTTAGTCCACTGTTTTGGAGTACAGGCAAAAAATAAAATGTCTTAGGAGCCAGGAAAGTTAGATTTTGGTATTGACTATTTCTACAGCTCTGGGTGTTTTTTCATCTGTAAAATGAAGATGATTTCAGTCTTCTTTAAGGCTATGGTAAGAATGGATATAAAAAATTTTAAAGTGTGACAGGGCTGCATTATTGTAGAATCTACATGTCTTGACAATTGGTTCAGTATTCTTTTGTTCTTTCACTCGGGGATTCTTTTTTTTTTTTATTACCTATTATTTTTTAGCTCTAATTTTGTTTACTTATTTTTATGTGGTGCTGAGGATTGAATCCAGGGCCCCGCATGCGCTAGGCGAGCGCTCCACCGCTGAGCAACAACCCCAGCCCCATCGGGGATTCTTAATTTGTTGGGAATTACAAATCTCTTTTAAGGATTTGTGTAAGCTATGAAACCTCTTCCTGGTAAATGCACAAAGTTCTGCATTCAACTTTAGACAGTGAATAGAACTGTGGAACTGGAATCATAGACCCCAAAGAACCCTCATACTACATCAAAATGGCTAACAGACTGATTCAGAGGCTTAATAGCATAACAGAATATGGAAACTGAAAACAGTAGATATAGTCATGTAATGACTTCATTGTAGTGTATTTGAGAAATTGGGGAATAAAACACTGGGATCAGACAGTTAAATTATCAACAAAAATTCTATAATAAATGCACTTACCTCAAATCTTAGAACTTTGCTGCAATTGTCAATTCTCTATAAAAGACACCTAAGAATTTAATTTTTTCCACTATTTCCATTGACCTGTTTCTTCCATCTTATATTCTCAGTTAAACTCTGCAACTGAATTATTAGTTTTTAATTCATTTTGGAAGTAACTGTAAAACATGCTGACCTTGAATCACCTTTATCTCTCTCAGGTATACTATAGGAACAGGTAACATTCTGATCGATATTTCATGCCATTAATATAATTGTTTATACAAATCTGTGATTTAAATATTGTTAACAAGTCAGTTAATTTGAAATACCAAAAGCGTATAAATGACTTGAGGCTTGGTTCCATCTGTACTGCTTATTGAAAAATTCATACTTAAGAACTAGAATGAGTTTTCTTTTATGTCCACAAAACCTATTACCTCAGACAATAAACTCAGTATTTATGAAGAGAAGTTCTTTAGTCCAAACAGACCCTATTAGAACAAACTTTATTCTCTGGTCATGCCAAAAACATATTGGAAATACATAATTTCCCCTTCCATCAATTCTATCTCCAGCATTCAATATAGAAAGTTTGTTCCATAAGATGCTTCCCTGGCTGGGGGTGTATATCTCATTGGTAGAGGACTTGCCTAGCATATGTGAGGACTTAGATACCATCCCCAGAACCAGAAACAAAGGAAATTCATATAAAAAGTATTGTATGTCAACAATCAGTTCCTGTTTACAAAACTCATGTTAGTTACTGGCCATTAAGTCTTGGACTCCAAATTAATCAGTTTGTAGGCTGATTTGGATCACTTATTTCAAGAAGTATTTGTAGCACAAAATTCAAATTAAAAACAATTTGAAGAGTCACTGGGAGTTCATTAGATTTTATGATTGATAATCATTTAAGATGTTTCTCTAAAATGAACTCAAATTTACTTATTAATTTCCTTTTGCTCTAAATTTAGTTGGCAATCCAGAAGATTACTATTTTTAAATATTTAGTTGCAGTTCAAGCTCCACTAATTTTATTGACTTTAGAGATACTCAAAACTGAGAAATGTAAATACATTTCATGATTTTAAGGTTTAAGTGAACATCTGACTAACTTGCAAGAAAAATTGGGAGATTCTTTCAATATTTTATTTTTTTAGTTCCTGAAATACAAATCAAAATACCTTTTGGTTACATATCACTTGAACAAGCTTGATACTCTTTTCAATACATGGTGAACCAACACAGATACTTTAACATTTCCTTTTTAAACACAATACATATTGTTTTGGAGGAAAACAGCTTATCAGAAAGATGCATGGATACACAGAGCTAGGATATACCCACCAACTTAAAATTTGGTCCACTAAAGTATATCAGTATTCCTCCTATAACAAAAGTAAATTAATGCTCACAGTTGAAAAAACAGAAATATTTGGCATAGGCTTCTGAGTGAGCTTGAAAAACAAGTTGTGTTTCAACTCTGTAGAGGAACATACAAAATCCACCTAGAAACATCTGACAGAAAAACTGGTCTGTTTGCTATTGGGATTCTTCTGCTTCAGAAGATGAGTGAAGGTATACTAGAGGGTGATGAAGACCCACAATAGCCACAGAATCACTTACTGAGAATTAATCAAAATTTAATACAGAATAACACAGGACAACGGTACAATCTCAACAGTTATTCAAATGCCTAAAAAGTAAGTTGTAAGCTTAGAACAAGTACCTCAGCAGGAACAATACAACACATTTACACAATTTTGAAGGTGTGATACTCTGTGTACAAGTGCATTAGGTTCTGGAACCCTGGGACAACAAAACATACAAAGAAAGAATATATCCAAGCTGTTTAACCTTCAACCATTCTCTTGAGTATTAAACCCAGGCCACCTTTGGCCACTTGCAGGGGTGTCTTTTCTTCCTTATTCTCAATGTATATACTTGCTCCTTGGGACACCAGCAGCTTTGCTTCTTCTACTCTCTCCTCGTCACAGGCTAAGTGTCTGAAATCAAGGATCACAAAGACCAATTAATCACTAACAATTCTATGTAATAGTTAGGATTTCCTGCAAGGTAGTCTAAGCTGCATATTATTAGGCAGTGGTAGGTAATATTGGGAAGATATTTCATCAGGAAAGGAAAATCAGTTTGCATGGGAAAGATTGTTTATAAGTCACAATCACTAGAACAGCCTTATAACACCAGTTCATAAATCAGAATCTTGGTCTTAGTACAATAGAAGAATGGATGTATATGCTAACCTAATGCAAAATTTCCTCATTTTATGAAAATTACCCCCAAATACTACATGAAATAATTCAAGGTTTGAATTCAGAAAAGCCTCGATTCATAAGCTGTCAATAGCAATTTGTGTGGCTTAAATTTTGGTAAAGCAATTGAAAAGATTTTATCTTGTTTGATGCATCTGTCTACTTGATGTTAGCAAAGTATTATTACCACCATTTTGTAGTTAAAATTGTGACAGAGGTTAATGTTCTTGGTCAAAATGACATGGTTTAGCAGTAAACCGGGTGGGGAGGAAACTAACCTTTGTCAGGCACTTATAGTTTGGCAGGAAGCATACTAAGCACTTTATATGTTATTTTACTTAAACCTCATAATAACCTAGTGTGGAAGGAATTATAATACTAAAGATGAAATTAAGATTCAAGAAGATTAACTAACTTCCCTAAGTTAGTTAATATTCATATTTAACATGTTAGAAAGTGGTAGAGTCTGGATACTATTCCTAAAACCTATGTTCTTCACAGGACCCTAAGTTGCCTGTCTTCTCGACTGCTTCTAGACCATCCTGCTTTTCAAATTATGGAGAAAGAAGCTGGAATATGGAGGTCTTTCTAAACATAATAACTTAGAATTATAGGAAAGATATTTAAATTAAGAGTTTAAAGTCAAACTGGAAACCTCATTCTAGACTAAAAAGATGACTCAAAAAAAGGACTCACTCTTTGACAAAGAAGCAAAGTAACAAAGTACTGTGAAAAAGAAACCAAGGTAGGGTAGGGCTTCAGGTTATACACATAAATCATTACAGATGGATTTAAGAGTTAAATGCAAAACAATAATAATGACTCTCAATCAATACATAAAAAAACCAAATAGCCAGGCATGGTGGTACAACCCTGTAATCCCAGGTATTCAGGAGGCTGAGGCAGGAGGATTGCAAGTTCAAGCCATCTCAGCAATTTAGCAAGATCCTGTCTCAAAATAAAAAATAAAAAGGGCTGAGAATGTGGCTGAATGGTTAAGCAACAAGGTTCAATCCCAGGTACCAAAAAGTGGCAAACAGAAACACAAAAAGAAAACGACAGCAAAAACAAAAAAAACATAATGAAATGTGAAACAAAACCTGTAATAAAATATAAGTAAATACGTAACTAGTTGCAGGGTAAAGAAAAGCTTTTCAGTCATGAGGGAAGATTAATAGGTTTCAGTACAAAAGTTGAAAACTTGAACAAAATGAAAAGACAAACTGAGAAAAATATTTTCAACTAACATGGCAGAAAAGTTAGTATTTTTACTACATCAAGTCAAGAGCACTTAGAAGCCAATAAAAAAGAAATTAGTTCTCCAAAAGGAATCTGAGAAAGGGACACCAAAAGTTATAATTTAAAGAAGAAATATAATTAGTCACAGGCATTAAGATTCAAAATCAATGAAAGTAAAAAATGTAAATTGCAACCATGAAACACCATTTTTCACATAATAAAACGATAATTTCAGTGTTGATGAGGGGGTAATAGGCATCTTAAAAGCTATTTGGAGGGTTCAATGATACAACTCCTCTGGAAGCAATTTGGTAATGCATAGCAATGGTCTTATAATGTGTGTATTTGTTGAATCAGCAATTCAACTTCTAGGAGTCTATACTAATGCAATACTCAACAATATGGCTAAGGATTTTATACAAAGTCAATAAATGTAGCATGTAGTGGAAAACTCAAAAATTGTTTAAATATACCATAATAGAGGAATGAGTAAATTATGGCACATCCATACAATGGAATTGTACATAGGCATTAAAAATGTTTTAAACAGGGGCTGGGGCTAGGGCTCAGTAGTGGAGCATTTGGCTAGCATGTGTGAGGCACTGGGTTCAATTCTCAGCACCACATAAAAATAAATCAATAAATAAAGGTATTATGTCCATCTACAACTAAAAAAAAATTTAAAAAATGTTTTAAACATATTTAATGACCTTGGAAAATATTCCCAATATACTATGAGGTGGAAAGAACAAGATATAAAACTACATATACAGTATGACCCCAGTTTTTCTAACATATACATATATATGTAGATAGATAGATAAATACGTAAAATATGATATCTGCAAGTATAAGACTGAAAAGAAATACACAAAAATGTTATCTGGGTTTATTTCTGAGTGGTAACATGATAAGCAATTTCAATTTTTATGCTTTGGTACACATTAAAAGTTTTTGCCATCAACTTGCACTGCATTTATAAGCATAATAAAAAAATATGATGTGTAAGAATTATTGCAAGAGGGCTAATGTCAGGTAGAACACAAATGACTGCTACTTGTCACTTACAGAGGAGTGTTACCCTCAGTGTCTTGGATGTTTGTGGATGCTTTGTAGTACAGAAGAATATGAATCATCTTCAAGTTACCCTTGGCTGCTGCCCGGTGCATTGCTGTAGCCTCATAATGATCCTTAGCATCTGGATTAGCTCCACCTTCTAGTAACATGACAGCAATCTGGAAAGACAAAAAAGGAAACAATGCAGAGATCCATTTGTGTTTTGCACACATTTAGAACTCAAAAGAATTAGGCTAGGGATGAACCAATACCTCATGCCTGTTTTTGGAAGCTGCATAATGTAGGGGAGTACAGCCATTTTGATTGACAGCATTCACTTGTGCACCTTTTCCCAGGAGCGCCTTTACAATTTCATCCCGGCCAGCAGAAGCAGCAATATGAAGAGGAGACCAGCCTGCCTATAAGAGGTGGGTCATACAAAAGTCAGAGGCCAAAGGTACAGGTATCAACATGAACAGATTTTAAACATTCTTGTTTCCCCACCATTAAGCATTGTGAAAAATCAGGAAACCAGAATGTGTAAAAAGAAGAATAACCCCAAATCCCATAATATAGACATACTGATATATAAGTCTAATTCTAATATGCTTTCTCCCATACAAAACTTTTTGGTTTTTTTTTTTTTTTTTTGGTGGTGCTGGGAATTGAACCCAGGGCCTTGTGCATGTGAGGCAAGCACTCTACCAACTGAGCTATATCCCCAGTCCCCCATACAATACTTTTTAAAAAAAATATTTAGTTATAGGTGGACACAATATCTTTATTTTATTTTTACTGAGGATAGAACCCAGTGCCTCATGCATGCAAGGTAAGTGCTCTCCCTCTGAGCCACAATCTCAGACTCCCATACAAAACTTTTTAACATTGAAATTGGGACTGGAGGATATAAATTTCCATGTACATTTTTTGTAATTTCCACTTATAATGCTGGTCATTATTTGGAATTATACTTTGTTGTTTCTATATTATTTTATCAATACTCACCAAAAAATTCCAACATAATAAAAGGGTATACAGTCTTTTAGGGTCCATAATAATAAGGCTTAGTTGGTATTTTTGCCCTAAATCACAGAGTATGTGTGACAAATTAACATTCTAAAATAATACAAACACTAGTCTCAGGCTTGATCACCAGAGCTATGCTGTAACTTCCTCCTTGTGAAGGTTGTAATTTTGTTTATGAGCTTAATACTCATGCTTCAGTAAACACCAGTCTGGAGTTGAAAGATAATTGGGGATTTATCAACTGTGTCAAGTACTCACATCATCTTTATCATTCACTGGCACTCCAAGTTGCAGCAAGAACTCAACAATTTCAGTATGTCCGGCTGAACATGCCCAGTGCAATGCAGTTCTGCTGTCCTACATGGGGAACAGAGAAAGACTACAATAAACATTCATGAAGAGAAATAGAAGGCCAAAAGGCAGAAAAAGTAATATTGGTGCTAAAAACAAGAAATGGAGAACACTGGATCCCCAGGTAAGTAAACTTAAAATCTTATCATCTACTAGTATGAGAGAGAGCAAGATTTTACCAATATGGGGTGAATAACATCAGTGAATATAAATAATTCTGGCAGAGTACAGCAATGAAACCAATAGAACTAGAAACTTATTCCAATGCTTTAGCAGAATGGAACTTTGACAATTTATTACCACATTACTTATGTACCTGTATGTCAGGCACTGTGTTAGAAGGCATACATGCATCATCTCATTTTACCACCCCATCCTATACACTAGCTATTATCAGCTTTTACAGATAAGGAAACAAAGACTCTTTAAAGCCTAGCTATTTATCTAAGGTCACACAACTTATCCAAATTCTAACTCTGAAATCTCTACTACTACACTGATCTCAAGTTAGATGTTCTAGAAAGAACCAATGAATCTTATGGGGGGGGGGAAGTGTTTCTAAAACTAGTTGAGATTATCTATATAATCATTTTTAAAAACATTACCCACAAATTAAAGAGTAACAAAATGCTTTTTTTAAATTTTATTTATTCATTGGTATGTGGTGCTGAGGATCGAACCCGGTGCCTCACACATGCCAGGCGAGCACTCTGCCACTGAGCCATGACCTCAGCCCTAAAAATGTGTTTTTAAAAATAACTAGGAGTTAGTCCTGTTTCTCAAAGAGAATCACTATTTACATTATTATATTTCTTAGTCGGCCCTGTGTAATAGAAAGTGGTATTATTGTTTATTTTTTGCAGTGGCAAGGATTGAATCTAGGGCCTTCTGCATGCTAGGCAAGAACTCTATATGAGTAGCTCTGAAATTAGTAATATTTTGCCACATCTGCTTCATCTAGTTTCCCTCAATTACAAACAAACTCTATCATGACTCTTCACTCCTATTTTGGCACTTAAAATATAAAAGTATTTTCTTACATAACTACAATACCACTATTACACTTATTAAAATTAACATTAACTCCTTTATATGATTTAATACTCAGTGTGTATTCAAATTTCCCCAGTTGTCTCCCAAATATCTTTTTTCAGCTTATTTAAAATCAGGATTCAAACAAAGCCCATAATTTGCATTTGGCTACTACATTTTTTATGTGTTTTAATTCTGAATAGCCCCTCTCTTAACCTCCCCCCACCCATTTTATGCAACTGACTAGATGGTTAAATTTTTAATGGAGTATTATTAAATCTCAATATGTATTATTTTTATTAGTTTAATAATTATTACCAGGCCACAATGAAGGCAAACTAGGCAAATGTAAGGGAATTTTTCAGGTTGGGTAATAAAGGAAAGTTCCAGAAAAGAGAAAATAGTCTTCCTTATTTTGAATTATCTTCCAAAAGATACAAAATAGAATATTTTAAATATGGGACACTGTCTTACAGAAGGCAATCTATGTATTTGTTGCCCTACTGGGGGGAACCATGAATCTTTGTAGAAATTCAATGAAAGCATGAGGGTCCTTTGAACAAGGGAAAAGAAAGAAACGCTTCCCAATAGTCTATTCATTTTTGTTCTGTTTAAAAGGCGCGTTCACTCACTATGGAAATCCCACTCTTTCAAGGTCTAACTTGTTTTATCTTTTTTCAAAGCCTTTTCTAATTATCACGACATTTGCATCAGGTCTTCCCATTACATGTTCTGAAAGTACCATGTAAACTTCTTTCCCAGGTATTTACCATTTGCAACCAGACCTATGTTTTTGTAGTTATTTTATTAATCGACTGTATACCCAGCTCCTAGCAAGCTTCCTGGGGCAGAAGAGTCGTTCAATCAAACGTGTTCCACTAAATACAATCACTAAGGGTAAAGAAACCCACAAAATAAAGCTTTCCTCCTCACGGACATCTCAAAAGACAGGGCATTTCTGAGAAATGCGGTAGACAGTCTAGAAATATCCAAAATTCAGCGAGCTAAGCTCCGAGCCAAAAAAAATATTTGAGGTCTGCCTGGCTAGCTCCGGCAGCCCGAATATGAGTCCTGAGGTGACCCCTGGGCGCGGATGGGGAGGAGAGGGCGGGGATCTGCCCCTCGTGGAACCGGCCTCTGCTTGGCCCAGGCCCGGGAAGACATGTAAGGCTGCACTGATGCTGCCAGCTGCGGGCAGGCCCTAGCGCTGCATTACCTGGTCAGTTCTAGTAGCCAGTGATTTATCGGCCAGGATGCTCTCCTTCAACTCCTCCAGCTTCCCGCTGTAGGCCAGGTTGCAGACCAACAGGTTAGACACACACCCCTCCATTTCGCTTCCCCAGGATCTCGGTGAAGCGCAAGGGACTCCCGCCTCACGTCCCAGGCTCCTGCTGCCAGTCAGGAGAGCCTAGAGCTCCACCAATCACCACTTTTCTCGTTCCCTTGTTTCTTTTTCCACCGCGTGGCGATTCTGGGAGTTGCAGTTTGAGAGCAGTTCCGGGCAGGGAGGCGCCTTTCCCGTCCTCACGGACTCGGCCTCTAGGAGTGAAAAACTACAAGTCCCAGGGTCCCTTGCTACGGCCATAGTCAAGTTGCCGGTGGAATTGGCCCAGGATGACAGCTGGAGAATGGAGTCAGGTACGGGAGCGGCTTCGTGTGCAACTCTGTGAAAGAGCTGGGGTGGGTGGTCGCTGTTGGGGCATTGAGTCGGCCACAGAAATCGGTTGCAGAGGCAGGGCAAGAGAGTTACGGGAGCCTGAAGGTGCTGTCCCTCGGGGGGCCCTGACCTGCACTGGCAGGCGGAAGGGACAACAGTTGGAGCTGAATACAATCTCCAGAGCTGGAACCAGTGACTGTGGTTACCCTCCCCCTCCCTGCCACCGCCCCGGGAGTAGAAAGAAGTAGGGTTTAATTATTCTGACATCTCAGAGGAGTGGCATCAGAGCAGGGTTCTGCTCTAGTAGTGATAGCATATAACATCATACTAAGATGATGTGCCAGTGTGATGCCAAAGGCAAGGTGTGATGCCGTGGGAGCCACTTGATATCTAAGAGAACTCAGTGAATCCTTAGCCTGGTGACATCACTACTTAATGAGGGTCCTCTTAGGGATACAGTGGTATGGTTTGGCATTTTAATATCACGATAATAACTATGGCATCGAAGCTTTGCTACAACTATTTAAGTTAATAGTATTTCTTTTTATGGAAATTTCAAATAGTGCCAAAGCAGAAATGATGCAAGGCTTATCCTTTATAGGGCATATCCAGAAGGGCATTATGCCCAAACTAGGTAATTATAAGAATGAATACATTCAGGAAAGAGATTGGTTGTATTTATGTTTATCCTCTTATGGTGTAGAAGAGGGCTTACTTAGCAAACTCTCTGTTAAAAAAAAAAAAGTAGATATTTTAGGATTTTCGGGCCAAAGGGTAAAATCGAGTATATTTTATAAGCATTTATATGACAAGAGAGAAAATTAGTTTTGACAAATGCTCATCGATGAATTTCAAACTATAATAATAACTTTTTTGTAACATAGGACTACTAATGAGAAGAATGGAATTCTTTTGGGGATAGCATTTTGCTTAATTGGGGTTCAAAGTTGGTGTTCCTTATCATCAACATTGACTCAAAATGTATCTTTTAATGCTGATCTGTGATGAGATTTTACCTATTTCATCTTTAAAAATGTCTTTTCACCCAAATAGGTACTGCCAGATACTGATATTAGTCCATGAACATAAATTTTTAAATTTTTATTTAAATACATTTTTAAAATTTCACAACAGCTTTGGATTTATAAAAAAATTTGAAAGATAGTACAGAATACAGAATTCCCATTTATCTTTCACCTAGTTTCCCCTGCTGTCTTTTCTGTTTTAACAGCTTTATTGAGGTGTATTTACATATCATAAAATTCACCTATTTCCCAATAAGATCTTCCCAATAAGATCTCATGTCCATTTACAGTTTATCCCCATTCCCACTCCTAGCACAGGCAACTAATAAATCTATTCTTGTCTCTATAAATCTGCTTATTCTTTATACCTCATGTAAATGAATCATGTAGTGTATGGTCTTTTGTGTCTGGCTTCTTTTATGTAGCCTATTTTTGAGGTTCAATCATGTTGTAGTATGTATAAGTACTTCCTTAATTTTTATTGCCAAATAGTATTCTATCTTATGGATATAACATGTTTTTGTTTACTCACTGGCTGACAGATATTTAAGTTGCTTCCAATTGTTGGCTATTATGCTGCTGAGAGAATTTGAGTGCAAAACTTTGGGTAGATATGTTTTCATTTCTCTTTGGTAGATACCTAAGAATGGAATTACTGGATCATAGGGGATTTTTTTTTTTTTTTTTTTTTTTTTTTGGTGCTGAGGATTGAACCCAGAGGTGCTTAATCACTGAGCCACATCCCCAGCCCTTTTTAATATTTTATTTAGATACAGGATCTTCCTAGTTGTTTAGGGCCTAACTGAGTTGCTGAGGCTGGCTTTGAACTCAAGATCCTCCAGCCTTGGCCTCCCGAGTGACTAGGATTACAGGCATGCACCACTGAGCCTGGCTAGATCATAGGGAAATTTTATATTTAACTTTTAAAGAAATTGCGAAACTGTTTTTCAAATAGTAGCACCATTTTGCATTTCTACTAGCAATGTATGTTGGTTCCCATTGTTCCACATTTTCAGAAACATTTGTTATTGACTCTATTTTCTATTTTAGCCATTCTAAGTAGGTGTGAAATATCTCATTGTATTTTAAATTTGTTTCCTTAATGACTAATGACAGTGGGCATTTTTTTCATATGCCTTTTAGTCATTGATATGTCTTCCTCAGTGAAGAATCTGTTCATATCTTTTCCCATTTTAAAATTGGGTTGTCTTTTCTATTGTTGAGTTGTAAAAAGTGTTTATGTATTCTAGATACAAGTCTCTGACAGGTATATTATATATAAATATTTTCCCCCAGTGAGCTGCTTGTCTTCTACTTTTATTTAATATTTTTTAGTTGTAGATAGACACAATATCTTTATTTTATTTATATTTTTGTAGTACTGAGAATTGAACCCAGTACCTCACATGTACCAGGCAAATACTCTACCACTGATCCACAACCCCAGACCCTATTTTCCTTGTCTTGAAGGTGTCTTTTGAAGTGAAAAAGTTTCAAATTTTGATGATATCTTACTGATAATTTGTTTATTTTATGGTTCATGCTTTTTTTTTAACCTAAGAAGTCTTTACCTAATCCAAGACCTCAATGACTTTCTCCTATCTATTCTTCTAGACATTTTATTGATTTTTTCTCATATTTAAGTCTATGATTCATTTTGAGTTAATTTTTCTATGTGGTATGAGGTAAAGTTCTAAGTTCATATTTTAATGCATATAATCAAGTTATTCCAGCAACCTTTGCTGAATATCTTTTTGTATTTGTCACAACTGATGAACACACATGGGTATATTACTATTAACTGTACTCCACACTTTATTCCAGTTTCACTAGTTTTAAATCTGAATGGTGTCCTTGGTACAATATTACACTCAGGCATTCTGTCTCTTTAGGCTCTTTTGGTACAATTGTGAAGGTTTCTTAGACTTTGCTCATTTTTATGGTCTTAAATTTTTTACGTGTACTTGTCAGATACTTTGTAGAAAATTCCTCAATTTGGATTTCTCTGGTGGGTTTCTTGTGACTTAGACTGGGAGTTACAGTTTTTGGATGAAGTCTGAAGAGATGAAGTGACATTCTCATCATAGATTATTAAGGGTACATAAGCATATGATTTCAATTGAGCCTATTCATTGTGTGGAAGAGAATTCTATTAGATTCATCATTCTCTTAATATTTACCTTTTAGCATGTCATTATATTGCAAATTAATAATTTCCACTTGAAAGTTAGGTGAAAACTCCTCAAATGAACATTTAAATGAATTCTGGAATATGAAAATATCCTTTGTGCTTGCTCAAGGTCCAAAAACTGTTGTTGAAAGTTTGAACTCAGAAAATATATATGTGGCAAATTTGTATGGAAATGGAGATCATGTTTCTTGTCTTAACATTTTTTTAAGGTCAGCTTTAGGACACAGAAAATATCACCCTTGCTAGATGAAAAGTTCAATGCACTTGTTTATAAATATATACTGTTCTGTATATTGTATTGAGAATAATAGAAATATCTATTTCTATCATTCCCAAGCTTCTCTCCCCACAACTCCCAGTTCTTGACAACAACTAAAGTGATTTCTGATACTAGTTTTTTAAGTGTACAATTTAATGATTTTAAGTATTTATCAAGTTATGTTGCCATCAGTATAATATTTTTATATTTATTTATTTATTTTTATGTGGTGCTGGTGATAGAACCCAGTACCTCACATGTGCGAGGCAAGTGCTCTTCCACTGAGCCACAACCACAGCCCCTATCAGTACAATATTATTTCATCATTTACATCATCCAGGAGAGACCTCGTGCCTATTTTCAGTTACTTTGCATTTCTACCCCAAACCCTAAGCAACTACTCATCTGTTTTGTGTCTATAGATTTTTATTTTCTGTATTTGTAACATAGAATAATACAGTATGTAGTCTTTTATGTCTGGCTTTTTTCATTTAGCATAATAATTTTGATATTTATCCAAATTATAGCTCATATCATTACTTCATTGTTTTCATGGCTAAATAATATTTCATTTTATGGATCTAACACATCCTTTTTATTAATTCATAAGTTTATGGGCATTTGAATTGTTATCACCTTTGAGATGCTATGAATAATGCTGCTAATAAATAGTTGCATACAAATTTCTATGCAGGCACATGTTTTCATTTCTCTTGTGTTCATATCTGGGAATGGCATTGCTGGTCATATGTTATCTATATCTATAGTTTATGGTAGCTATGTTTTATATTTAATTTAAACTTGTTATTAGTTTTGGAGGAACTGCCATACTATTTACCAAAATGGCTATATAATTTTTTAAAAATATTTTTTAGTTGTAGATGGACACAATACCTTTATTTTTTTATTTATTTCCTCATATGTGGTGCTGAGGATGGAACCCAGTGCCTCACACATGCAAAGCAAGCACTCTGCCACTGAGCTACAATCCCAGCTCTTGGCTATACCATTTTTTTAAAAAAATATTTTTTTAGTTGTTGATGGACCTTTATTTTATTTGCCTATTTATATGTGGTGCTGGGAATCGAACCTAGCGCCTCACACATACAAGGCAAGCACTCTACCACTGAGCTAAAACTCCAGCCCCCATGACTATACCATTTTACCTTCCCACTAGTAACTTATTTGGGCTCAAAGTTCTCCACATATTTATAAATACATACTTTCTTTTTATT